CTATAGAGGGCACTGGGATTGGGGTCAAAATGCTGTGATAATGATCACACAATATACCAGAATATTATTGGATTAGTATAACTGACCGTGCTAACGTGAGTCTAGCTTTCTGCCCGCCACTCAACGATACACCCCTTTCCCCGACTAATGTCTTCTCTCCAAACGGAAACTGCTTTAAATCCCTGTCCATCGCGCAGACGGACATTATTTGACGGAATTTCTTTAATTCGTAAGGCTTTCCAAACAAAATATTCTGCAGAATAGTTGCGTTGAAAGCCCATGACTCCTGCGGGGCGTAGGCTATAGTACCCTCTACTTGGACGGCGCCGGTAGTCACCTCGATCTCATTCATCAGAGACATCAGGAATGAGCTCTAATTTACGGCAAAAATTAATTATTCATTTTGTAACTTTAAATTGAAAATCAACATACCTTTCCCGAGCCTACCGGCCCCACAACAGCTAACAATTCACCGGTTTGTAAACTGCATGATATGTTTTGTAGGGTTATTATATCAGAGTCCTGTGCATAGAAATTAGTTGTTAATATTCATATTTCACATCCCTTTCCACTAACAATATCCCATTTGGCCGACAGGTTGTCCACGATAATACTGTTCCCATCGTTGAATCGATTAGTTATTTGTGCGTCAATTAAGGCTATATTAAAGCCGTTGCTATTTTTCTTGACATCCAAATCACTGTCTTTATACTGAATGCCTTTTACTTGGATTTCATCCAAAAGTAGAAATTTCTACACAAATAAAACACACGATTATATGTTTACTAAATAAATAATTAATACCCGGATCACAAACCTGGACCCTTTTGCACGAGACGTATATCTCCGCGGCATAGCCTATCATATACGGGAAAAAGGAGGTCATTGTGAGCCGTATTGTGTTGAATATAGCCATCGTTACGAACACCTTCTCGGCGCTCAAGTGCTCTCCAATCAGAACATAGACTATGAATATCGTGAAGATTATCACTTTGGCCGATATGATCGATATGGATATGTTTAGGGCCCTCAAAAGGGTCGACCCCCTTATTTTGGACATCTCTTTCCTAGTTATCAACAAGCATATTTATAAGTCATTAGATTTTCATTTATAATTATAGACAATTTGATTATCGTAATTTTAGTAAGCATTATAATACAGTACTCAAGTTATAATGATAGGTAATTGCATGTAATAAATATAACTAAAAACTTTTTAGTTAATAATAGTAACTAAAGATGATGTTCACATTTAAAATAAATGAATATAAAAATGTACTTAATATCTAAAAATTATATATACTTTCGGACGTCAGATATAAGTTGCGAGAAGTGTTGTTCCCAGGCATACATTTTGATGACTGCCATCCCTTTGATTATTTCATTCATTAAACGAATCCTATTAT